CTTCTGATCTTCTGTATGTAGAACTTCTGGTCTTCTATGAGAAGACCTTCTGGTCTTTTATGAGAAGACTTTCTGGTCCAGTAACAAGAATCTACCAATTTTGCAATTTTTTTCTTTCGATATTATAAAGGAAATATCGTCTATAGTGGCACATGCTTAAGTTTACATTCTGGCAGTTCTGGTACAGAGCGTTTATTATATTACATTTTTTTTTTTCACTTCATACATTTTTTTCCTCCACACTGGAGAGGATGTACGTTGTACAAATTTCCATAGAAATATGGAGTATTTTTAGTTTGGTACACTATGCACATACATATGTAGGGTATCAATTGTTCGATCCATTCATTTATTTTTCAACTCTTTTGTGTTTGTATTGCATACATACAACTACATACATATGTATGTATGGATTTGTGTGCGGGTATGTTCTCACAAATATTTAATGTTTATCGAACAGGTTTTTTTGTTGTTGTCGTTTCTTGTTGTTGCTTTGTGAAATGACTTTTCATCCGGTTTCCTTTTTCCGCTGAATATTTCATGGATGCTTTGGTATGTTCCAACAAAACGTTGTTGTTGCTGCTGTTGTATTTTGTTTGCCACGACAACAAAACACAACTCGCATAAAGTCAGTTGGTTTGCGAATCCTTTATTGTTACAATTTATTTAAACGCTTATAAATTTATTTACCCAATGTTCCAACACAACAACAACAACTTGAGTTTGACAGCATATCTCTGTCACATAATAAACAACAACGACGAGTTTGGGAACGATGTTGGAATGCTATCATGCCGCTACTCAGCAGCAGCTCAAGGTATTGGAGAGTAGAAAAAAATACTTGTATCTTTTTGGCAAGAAAAAAATTGCAAAAAAACGTTTCGTTCTCATGACAAAAACTTGACAACAAAAGTGACACAAAAAAGCCAAAAAAAAAAAACGGAACATAACCTCCACCTTTGGTGACAATTTCCATGACGAGTTTTCAATATACAAAATTGAAATCGTAACTCTCAGTAGCAAAAAAACGACATATTTTCGGCGTAAAATGTCAAAGTATGGCCAGACAATTTGTTACATAAATTCCACCGAAAAAATACCTGGGAAAAGAAATCATAAAATATTTTCAACTCCCAAGAAAAATGTCAGTTTGTCAATCTCTTCTTACTTGAGTGCATCCAATTATTTATTACATAATGTAACAGAAATTCACGTTTTTTGATTGAATTCTCATGAATTTTTTTAGATTAAATTGTTAATAAGAAATTTCCAAAGCGAGACCTTTGATAATTGATATTTGATAATTAGAGGTTTTTGTAATAAATACAATTTTAATTTATTTGTAGAATATTTTCATTTAATAAGGATTTTATCGGGAGAAACTAACCAAAATTGAATGGGTTACCTACGTTGATTGATGATTTTTTTGAAAGAAAATTTCCAAACCATTGGTGTTGCGCTGGCAAAAAATGGACACATTAATTTTAATAATCAAAATATTTCTACAATCTTTGGTGGACGAGGATTAAGACTTTGCTTTAGCATTAGTGAGATGTATAACCCCTTGAGGAGGAAGTACGTAAGAAAATGAAAATGAGAAATTTTCAATTTCTATAAATTTCCTTGAAATTATTTGGCAGAATCAAAAAAACTCTAAATTGTCTTCGAAAATCGTTTTAGCGCCCAGTGTTATATATTTCCAAAATTGGGACTAAAGAGGTTAAAAAGTATCAGTCGGTTTTGTCGAAAGATGTATACCCTCAGCCAATGTTATTATCCATTATTGTATCGTATCGGACCTAAATAAATATAAAATAAATATAGCGACGTCCCAGGTTTGGACTATACCAACTTCTTCTTTCCCTTTATTTGAGGTATGTGATAATTTGTAGTGTATAAAAATGTGCGTGAGGTTCCACATATAGTCGACCGAAGTGTTCCATTTTCATACTTCATCTAATACGAATAAAAATATTGCTACGGGCTAAATTACAATCGAAAATTGAACAGTTATATCCAATTTAATGCGAAATCATAAATTTCATATTCATCTCAGGTTTCTAGTTGAGACACATATTTAGATATAGCAAGTTGTAAAGAATCGCTGACTTGTTTGAACATTGTGACCCTTTGTGGGTGAGGTGGTACCAGAAGGGGTTCGCAGCTATATATCATCTTCACAATAGATCTTGTGTTAGTAAAAATATTGGAATGTGTGAAATTTTGAAGAGAGTTGGATGCTTATTTCGTTTTCTTTGAGTATTTTGTTTTACAAAATATTGAACGCTATGTGGAGTAAATACTAGAAGAATTTGTTCGATCTATATATCTATACCATATTTACAACAGCTCTTGTGTTGATAGAATATTGATAGGTGCCAAGTCTGAGTGGAATTGCATGTTAATTTCGAGTTTTATGGGCTTTAAGGATATTTAAAATGTTGACCCTTTATGGGAGAGGTACCAGAAGGAGTGCACCGCTATGTCCAATCTTCACAGCAAACCTTGTGCTGGTAGAAATAATGGAATGTGTGAAATATGAAGAGAACTGGATGCTTATTATTAAAAACTTCAATGCTTTTGGGGATGTACAAGAAGGAATGGTACATCTAACATCTTTATAACAGATCTTGTGTTGATAGAAATATTGAGATGTGCCAAGTCTGAAAGGAATGGGATGTCAATTTTACGTTGTAGGCGTAACATATGCAAAATGTTGATCCTTTGTGGGGGAGATACCAGAAGGACCACTAGACCGATATATTCCAACTTAACGCCAAACCTTGGGTTTATAAAAATATAGGATTGTGTGAAATTTGAAGACAATCGTACTCTTATCACACTTTATAATCATCATTTTGACACTTTGTGGGGGAGGTACTTAATGGAGTGGACAATATTATCCATTTGCGCACCTGACCTAGCACTGATGAAAATATTAGAATTTGCAAAGTTGAGGCAAAATCGGATTATACTTATACTATAAGTATTCAAAATTTTGACCCATTGTGGGGGAGATACCAGAAGGAATGCTCCGACCTACCGGACCTTGAATTGTTAGATATTTTAAGTCAATTCTACTCTTATTTCACATTTTATAAGCGTTGAGATTATTCAAAATGTCTATTCTTTGTGAGGGAGATACTAGAAGGATTCGGTCTATATTGTCCCTTTTTGCACCTAACCTAGAATATATACAAATATTAGGATTTGCAAAGTTTGATCAAAATCGGATGATCCTTCCTTGTTTTGTGAGGTTAATTATTTTCGATGAAAATTTTGACCTTTTGTGGGGGAGGTACCAGAAGGTGTGGACCAATATTGCCCATCTCCGAACTCGGTCTAAGTTTGATGATAATATTACTATTTCCAAGTTTGGGCCAAATCGGATACTCCCTTGGAGAGTTATCGTGCGCTCCAGACAGACAGAAGGACGGTTATCGCTAGATCGACTCCAAATGTCCTGAAACGAATCTGGTCCAAAGAGATCTAGGGTCTAAAACCGTTATTTTGATGATGCACATTTTGGCTTCACTCTAGCCATGTGGCTGAACAATATATAAACACAAAATATTGCAAAATTGGAGAACTTGCTGTGAGTCACTCTAGGTTTCAAATGAAATCAAAATTATAAAAAAATATGAAATAAATAAAGAAACTTATTACTATCCAATTACCTTCACCCTAAATCTATTTCTATGTCATTTGCTTATCTCTAATATAAATATATCATTTTCAGTTTCTATAAATTTCCTTTTTTTTTGGGCAGTGTAAAAAATTTCTAAATTATATTGAAAAATCATTTTGGCGCCCAACGTAATATATTTTCAAATTTAGTACCAAAATAAATTGTATATTATCCACCCTTCATCTACCTTACATACTAATAAAATTGTATATTTTTGAGAAGTCCTATTTATTTAACTGCATTTTCCCCAATTATGCATTACTAATGTAAAACACCCCATTGTAAAATGACCCCTCCAAGTATTAACTATTTTCCCCTTTTCAATCTAACATAGTTATTTTAACCTTGCAGTATATTTGTCGTAAAATTACTCAAATGTTTTATTTATTTAGTTTATTGCTGTTTAAAATAAATGTACATTTTAATATCTGTGAAAATATGTCCGAAATTGCATGTGTATAAATGTACAAAAAATAAATGAGTAAAGTACTATACAAAGTGAAATGATGTAAATAGCAATGTAAATATTTAACCTTAAACTTCTTGACCTTAATTACATTGAACAAGTGAAGATATAAACACAAAACAGACACAATCCGACAGACACGTGTATATAGAGCGAGAGAAGCAAAGTGGCAAACAAACAAAAACATATCGCACTTGTAGAAGAACAAGAATAGTTGCAGCAACACATCTGACTAAAATGAAACAAACCAAAAAAAAACTAACAAAAAACAGAATAGCAAAACACGGCACAAAAACACACACTCATACAAATGCATCTGAAACACAAACAGTAATAAAACAAAAGAAAAAAAACCCATCAAGCAAAAAAGCAAAACTAATTACACACACGCAAAGCCTAACAAAGAAACAAACAAAAAAAAAACAACGGCAAACACCAAAAAACAATGTTCTCACCATGGCCAAGGAAACATTAACACAATTCCAACTAACAACACAACATTTGGTCTTACTAAAAATAGATGATTTACACACAAATGTACATATGTATGTAACACTACACTGGCCATTGCCAAAAAATTCCAACCAAGCTTGCAGCCAAACAAACACCACACAAAAGATTACTAACACAATTGGATAGTACAGCTCCACCAAAAGACGGTTACAATTGGAAAGCAAAGATGGTCAAGTTGTTTGCTTGACCCCCCACTAATACCGCAACACCACCTCCACCACCCACATCCCAGACACACCAACCCACACAAATTGCCCCAAATTTTGCCAGACAACAGAAAAATATTAATGAATCTTCTTATTCTCTTTGTTCCCTCCCCTCTTCTACTTCTAGTCGGAAAAACAGCCATAATGAGCGTAAAAGGATCACAAAACTTGGAGCAAAGAACAAGTTCAACTAAATGAATGCATCATTAGAGACAGCAAATACGTTACGACTCGTTACGCTCGAACCACAACATTTTTATTTGCAATGACAGCGCCACAGTCTTGGCTGCTCAACAACTGAGACAGAGACATTGAGCAACGAAAAAAAAAAACGGAAAACCCAAAAAAAGCTTAAAGTTGTGTTTGCCAATTGAATGAGAAAGGACAATTTTCCACAAACTTAAAAAGGCTGTGAGTGAAAAAAAAACAAACTGTGTTAATTGCTTGCAACTCAAGCCACAACTTCGAGCAAAAACACGCACCTGGCTGCTTGGAAATAAAAAAAAAAAACAACGAGAAAACACTCTCCCCACAATAATTTTCTAAAATCAAGTCAAGGCCTTGCCAAAAACGCAAATTTACAACCAACGACGTCTGCCAGCACCCATGTAAGTGTGTATGTGTGTGTGTACTTGTCTGAGTAAGATCTTAGCAGGCCGCCACTTGTTTAAGTACACTCACAACAACCAACATCACATCTGTCTGCCTGTAATACACACTACAAGGATGCACTTCCTTCAAAGGGTATGAATGGAAGAGTAGAGAATATTTTTTAACTACTGCAAAGCTTACTTTTCTAGAATAAACAGTAGCAGCAACAAAGACTACAACAACAGTAACGAACATTTTTTATAATGATGCCAACATACGCTATTAACCCTAATGCAGCAACAACCCCATCGTCGTCATCATCATTTGCTGCATAAAAGTTCGGATATGTAGACAACAGCAGCTGTTGGTTGTAACAAATTTTCTTCAAGTGGTTGAATACAACATTCCAACCCCAACAGAGAACAGCAACAGCACTAACAACAACAACATCAATTTGACTTGTAAAACGAGCCTGATACTTAACACTGAACAAAGGTTGCAAGGACAAGGTCCCGCACTCGCATAAAACAGTAAAAAAATATACAACAACCTTTCACATGTGGGTGCATTTGTCTGTGTGCAAAATTCACTTCAATTAGAAAAAAGCAACGGCACAAAAAACAGAATCCACGAAGAAAAAGAAACGAATAAACCTGCAAAGAATTTAAGGATCTCCATCACCCCCCAGCAACAACATATGCAAAAAGTCTGTCTTGTCTGACTGCCTGCTGTTTGGCACTACGTTGCAGCAATTCGAATTTGAATTCTCTCTCGAGCAGACAATCTGCCAGTCTCTACCCGCGTCTCTAGCAAATAATACACAGACGACATGCCCGAACAGGATAATTACGATGATGAGGTAAATTATTATTTAAGCACTTTTGCATTTAATCGCATAGATCACAGCCAGAGAGCGTATGTAAATTGGGTTGCTTGCTTTTTTTGTCTCTCGGCATGGAAATTAAGGTGATAATGCAATGAAAGGTGGAATGAATTATAAAACAAAGGGGGAAAAAGAAAATTCAAATTAAGTTAGGGGTCACCGTTTTTTGTTGTGTTCTAATTTAAAGGATGGTAATATCCTTAAAAATGTTAGGCAATGTTGAGGATATTTCTTCTAAGAGAACGACTGATGGTAATGGGTCGCAATACCCAGCAAAAACTTGGGAGCTTGATTATTAAAATGTAGGGTAAACAGCGGCATGAGAATAATGAGTTATTCCTAAAGACAAAAAAAGCACTGGGTGTTCTCATCCGACTACAAAATCGAAGATTGGAAGTTCTAGATTCGGCGCTGGCAAACGAAAAAAAATTCAAGAAAATACCTTTGAATTTGGTGAAATAACCCTTAGTGTTCGCAACCGTTGCGCAGTGTGTGTTTAACTACAAATCATGAGATCTCAGGCCCAATACCAGCAGAGGAGAAAGTAAAAAAGGAGGATTGTGGTAAAATAGTATGGTAGGTATTTACAATTACTAATAATTGATTCGGAAACCCATTATTTGGTAATGGAAGTTTTTGCTGCATTGTAAGTTTCGAAATTTCGTTCCTAGATCCACAATTTAGTAGACCAATTGTTCGATCCGTCCGTCTGTTCCATATAAATTGTAATAAACTTCACGCCACAATTATATACGGATCGTCACAAAATGTTGCCTGTACTCCGGATTCTAATTGAAACAGACATCTATAGTTATAGGTATTGTGATCCTTACCTATAACTGCAGATGTCTGTAAATATTGACGTAGAAAAAGCCTAGATTTTGAATAAATTTTGACGTGAAAAATATATCACAATATTTGTGCGAAAAATTATATTATTTTGTGTTTCATTGCCAATTTTTAAAAGTTGAATCTTATTTTTCGACGAAATCTGTTACGTGTATTAGACGGACTCGTGACATTTCAATTTATGTCTATCCTGTTATACCCTACACCACAAGGTGGTCAGGGTATTATATCTTTTTGCATTTGTAAGAGGTAAAAGGAAACTAGACAGACCCATATTTCCTTTTGATTTTCTGCATAGAATCACATTCTGATTCGATTTATGGACGGACATCCGTCTGCCCGTCCGCCTGTCGATGTATTTTTGTAAACAAAGTACAGGTCGCATTTATTATCCGATAATGATGAAATTTTGCGCAAGTTATTTCATTGACCCAAGAACCAACCCTACTGAAATTGGCTCCCATATATATCTTCGTCCGATCTGCCATTTATTGTGCACCAAACGAGTAATATCAGCCCAAATAGTATAGAATTTTGCATATACCACCAAATAAAGCCTGGAAATAAGTATGCCAAATTTGATCGAAGTCGGTTCAGATTTAGCTATAGCTCCCATATATGTATATTATTCATTCCCATTTGTTAGCCGTAATATGCACTTCGATAACAACGATATTCGGGGAAATATATCAAATACAGCTCAGAAATGCCTTTGCAAATTTTATCGAGATCGCTTCAGATTTTGGATATAGCTCCCATATATATCTGTACCCGATTTCAAGTTTATTTTGATGAATTATGGAGAATATCGGTTCAGACACATATGCCTCCGTCAAATTTAGTAGAAATTGATAGATGGTAGAATTTACCTCCATTTTTTATTGAATGAAAGCAAAAAATTTCGGAAATAACATCAAATTTTAGAATAAGTTTATATTTGTTCGAATTTGTCACCTTTTGCACGAATTATGGCCTTCAAATGGCCAATGAAAGCGTCACACGATGCCCAAATGTTGCTCTTCGGTATCTTGTGTCATTTCCGGGCAAGCGCTTGCTTGAGGTGATCGAGACATTGGTATTTTTAGTGCCGACCTTGCTTTCCAAAATACTACAGACACAATAGTCCAACGGATTGATATCCGGAGGTTTTGGTGGTCATTGTGTGCTGGCGGTGTAAGTTATTGCACTTTTTGGAATTTCAATGGCTTTACCCCGAGTTCATTTTTTCAATATTGGCCGGATGGAATATTGCGAAATGTTCAGTTCACGAGCCATTTTTTCGGCCACTGTGACGCGGGTTTCAATCAAGTCGTTTCTTTACTTCCTTGACGTCGAGCTACGCTACCAGGATCACGGTAACGAGCGATGGTACGAGACACAAAAGATTTATTCACATTTAAATGCTGGAGTGCTCTAACGATAGCCACTTGTGGTTTTCCAGCCAAATATAAAGAAGTCAAACTATCACGCTTGAATTCCATCACGAATAACTTTTTTTCTGGAAAATTCTCACCAAAATGCTTTTGTACGCTTGTAAACAATATAATGAGCTGTCATTGGAATAATATTAACAGCTGTCGGACGAGTGGCTTAGAAATGACAGCAGTCTGAAGTTGGTTGCAGTTTTTTCATCTCACCCTGTATATTCAAAATATTGCAGATAGATCGATAAACATTTTTAATTTTTGTTAGTTTATAATTTCCCTTTTTGGAATACCGAATATCTTCGCTATTTTTGTACTGCGCTTTGTCTGTACATTTGAACTCTGTATGTATAGCGTATACATTCCATCATAACGTATACGCAATAGTTCATTGCAATAAAAGGTCTGCATAAAAAATAGTTTTTGTCCTTGTCATTTCTCAAAGTTATGGTTCTTATTCTTAAATAAATGTTATTAGGCTTATAAAGATAACAATGTCAATAATTCTTCAATGACACTTTTATCTTGATAAATAGCATTCTATAAAACACATATTGAGGATCCAGTGGAGGAGGGGCAAAAAAACTAACAAATTCCAGTCTAACCTTGCCCGCTTTGTTAAACTTAACTTAAAATAAGTATTTCCATGCATAAGATAATAAATACGTTTGACAACACAACCCTCTCTCATAAACCAGATTCCTCTCCCCCAAACAATTTGGATTTCTTAAAACTTTATCCGAAACCAAAATAACCACAACTTGTTATTATTTATTAAAAGTGTTCTCCATTGAGCTTATTGAAACCCCAAGGACGATTTTGTTTCGCAATAATTTGTCAAGGATACTTCAGGCATTTGAGTTTCATTTTAAACAAGGCCTTAAGCCACACTGAGGTGTTAGACGATTAATTAATTCTTTCCAAAGAACTTTCGATGGAAACGCCAAAAAACAATGACAACAAAAATGTCATCTAAGAGCGTGTCATTAGGTTAATGAAGTTTTTGGCTTCGCGTTTTTTTAGCCCCGGGTAATTGTATTGCCATCATCAATATTATTTATGCCTGAGCCCCCCTGCTCCTCACGCAGGGTTTAAGTGGATAGGTGAGTGGTTGGATAGACAACAATCAGCTTAACGAATTACCGGAAGGTATGTTTTTGGCTGAAAATATAATATGGGGGAAAATTACAAATTATTCATATTTATGCACACCAAAAAAGGGAGAGGAGTGTTACGGCCACGTGGGAGTAGTTTAAGAAAATGCAAAAAAAATGTCACACGCTTAAAATGTTTCCCAGTGGAAAAACATGAAAACAAAATCACCGTAAATGACCAACAACATTTTTTATTGTCACTTTCCGTTAAAGACCACCCCAGCAACAAAATCAATTTAAGATAACGAACAGCAAGAAAAGGGAAAGAGAAAAGGTCACTATAATTTCTAATAAAATTTTGCTATCTTAGATTCAAAGAAAGCAAAACAAAATTTACATACGGACGAAACCTACAGTCTGTAGAGGTTGGGTGTCAGAATTGATGAGCTTGTTGTTGCTGCTATTCTTGGTTGTTGACGAAAGCAATTGGTTCCAACTAATAACAATAAAACAAATGTTGACAATTTTGTTCGGTTGTTTGTTTACAGCAATGTTTTTTTTTTCGTTTGCTTTTTTACATTTTATGTATATTGTTTTGGACATTAGAATAGAGAAAAGACAAAAATAGAACCGTTTTCGTCATGGCTTATCCGTAATTCGGTCACGCTAAGTTTGCAGAGGGGAAATCAATTATCCAATAGTAGAATTATTATATTAAATTATGGGGATATTCGAATAATAAACTCAGGAAATATAAGAAGAATTCGATGCCATCTAGAGTTTCCTTTAAAATAATTTTATGATTGTTCCGAAGGGTAAAAAATCCGATATAATATAGTTTGAGTCTAAAATTGATAGAAAAAACTGAAATTATAGATAAAAATTTTGACTTAAAAAAACTGAAATTGTACAAGAGCGGTATGACAAAATTTAAAAAATGTAGCTACTTTGTAGGGATTTATTGTAACTTTTGTATTTCAAAATACTATATGTTCAGCATTTTTGGTTTTGAAATGTACTTTAAAAACAACAACATCAGCTTCAATTTGACGTTTCGGGATGTTATTGGTAACTGTAACTTCTCTCAAAAAATATTCAATGTTGCCTCACTTTATGATATTAACCTCTTGTGAAGCTACCTCCGGATTCGATATTTTAAGATTTCGGCCATAATTTCGAACCAAATCAGATTTAATTTGAAAATTAGATTTTTTTATAAAGCTATATTGTTTAATTCCCATTAGACGGAACTTCAAAATTTTGGGAATTTGGGATAGTAGATGTGACGAAAGAGCAGTATGCCAAAAATTAAAAAGATAGCTGCTTTGTAGGGGTGTATTTAAACTTTTTATTTTCAAAATAAAATATGTTCGACATTTTCGTTTTTGAAATGTAGTTTAAAAACAACTAAAACCGATCTATGGCTCTACATAGTGAGTTGTGTAGCAACTTGGAAGAATATAAAACTAAAGCCTGGCTGTGGGATTTGAACCGCGGACCTCGGTGTGCAGCCAACTAGAAGTTGCCGTCTCTACGTTCAGAGCCATTAACCCGTCTTCCTAAAGCAGCACTAAAACAAGTGTATGCATTGGAAGCAATGTAGTTGTTG